TTCGGTCATCTGTTGCTTAAGTTTGAGCATCTCCTCCTTTATTTTATTGACATCCAACTCCTCCACCTCAACACTAGTGTCGGCATCCGGGATAGACATGATTTCTGGTATTGGTCCTTTCGATCTGGTTTGGTAATGATAATGTGTCAGTATCCGCTAGATAAACTAACTGCTTGAATTCTCTGGAAATCAACAAACTTGTTAGTTCTTAGAGTTTAACATATATGCAATTACACGTTGGGATGCAATGCACCTAGGCAATTAACCATTTTCTATCATGCATTTGCTTCGGTTGCGTGTGTCATTTCGGCCTCTCATAATTGTGCCCCTTCTTTTAAGCTTCTTTTATTTTATCCTTCTATATTTTCCCTTTTCCTTTTTAGTGGTGGTCGAATCCTATAGAGATTGCCTATGTATTATGTCCCCTCATGAATCAGACCGTGCGTAGTTCTGTCAGATAAGTGTGAAAGTAAATAAAACATTTTTGGGATTTTCAGCTTTTATAAAAACAGATGCTTCGATCACAAAGACTCAATACTAACAAATTTCAAAAGACTAAAAGACTCTGATGCAAAAGACAAAATACAGACTCCGAAATAAAGCTATCATACTTGAAAGAAATACAGACTAACAGAAAGAAAGTATAAACCCAACATGACTTACGGACTCCGACAGAAAAAGAAATACTGACTCAAACGGAAAATCATGAGTATATCAATGCTCCTGGTGCCCACGAGATATCATTCAGTCTCGTCGCGGGCCTATGTGCAAAATCCCTTTGAAGTCGGTCCAAGTTGTTCATTATTTGTTTAGCAAAGGTTATCACCGCTGCAAAGAACATAGTGCGAGTCATATCCTCACAAATGTGGCACTTCATAATGATGTAGTCTGCGATGTTTCTAATTTTCTCTCTTATGACGCCCTTTTCTTGTAACAAACGCCCAATCTGCTGGGCCCTGGCCTCCAAAGTTTGCTTGGCTGCATAATTTTGTTCCTGAAGTTGTTGCAAGTCTATTTCTAACTGCGCCAATGTCGTATAACAGCGTTCCCTTTCAACCTTGAAGTCGTTTGCCTGCTTGATCATTTTGTTTTCTGTGGCGATGACCCTTTTCTTCAACCCCACGACCTCATCGTCGTACCTTTTTCTTAACTGCTTAACTATGCATACCCGTTCATCTGCATTTTTAGCCAATTGTTTTTGAGCCCTGGCCAGTTCACTTTCTGCTTTGTTCAAATAGAAACTATAGTTACTCACTTTCTGCCTTAGGTTAGCTACGAGCTTTTCATCTCTGTTACTTCGGACTGGATTTTCTGCAGCTACTTTCAGTTTCTGAATTTGAGCTTGAAGGGCCTCATTTTCTTTGGCTAGCCTTTTCTTTTCACCCTCATCCGTTGTTGCTTGTAAGCCATTCTTGAATTGAAGGTCTTTGACTTGCTTTTCCAGCTTTCCTATTGTGGCCATGTGCTCGTTTTCTTTGGCCAACCAAGCCCACGGTTCTTGCGATGCCTCGACGAATTCCTGAATGTGCGGTTTTTTGGCCGGTCTTTCTAATTCGGCCCTTGCAGTGTTCTTTTTCTATACCAGGCAAGGTAGGCGGGTGAGACCTCACCTTTAGATAGGTTCCGCACTTGGGTGCTTTCCGCCAAATACTGGCATTCGTTCCAAATAGAACGAATTGTTTCTTCGTGAAATTGGCCGTCGGAGCTAATCTCAATCGCGTGGATACGGAGATCTTCATCTGGATGCATCACCTGACACCTTCCTAATTGTCTCATCACTCGGTAGGGAGCGTAAGGCTGAATACCTCGAAGACCCATTAGGAGGAAGTAAGGACCTGTGGCGGGTGTATACACAATTTTTTCAACAGGAAGCCAACCTAGTGTCCATTTTATTTGTCCCGTAGTGATGGCACGAAGGCGGGCTATCCATTATCCAAACCCCTCCGGTAACTTGAACCATGAAACCCTTGTGTTGAATTCTTCAACGCAGCTTTTCTCTGCGGATCCATAACTCATATACTGAGGATGGTGGCACAAGTGCTCGATCATCCACATTTGTAATAGCAAATTGCATCCCTCGAAGAAGTCTGCCCCAGCTTTACAAGCTGTAAGAGCTCGGTATATCTCAGACACTATCATAGGGGCGAGAGTACTCTTGGCGTTGGTAACCAGGACCTTGACGACTTCAGCCACCCTCAAATCGATATTCCCGCCTTTTCGGGGAAACACCACAAGGCCTAAGAATGCGACCATGAAAGCGAAACGCCTATGCTCGTCCCATTTTGTTCAGCTCCCTTTATTGCAAACCCCGCTTTCCGGATCATTGAACCCTCTTACATGCCCGTACTTCTGGTATATAAAACGTAGAGTGGAAAAAACCCCTTCCAACTCGGAATATGTGATTCCCTTGCTTATCTTTAGCAAATCCATGAATTTGTGAGAGTTAACGACCCTTGGAGCGATCAGATACTTATGCCTCAAACCTGCAATACTTTTTATATAACCTACTATCTCTTCCAAGGTTNACATACGCAACTCCAAAGAGATTTTGTTCATAACTGTTACCGGCAAATTCTGACTCGTGCTCAACCTGTATGTTTATTGGGGCGTTTAGGCAAACTTTAAGACTTATTTAACTCAAAATAAAATTAACACACATTTTTTCAAAAATAAAATAAAAACCCGGTTTCGCAAATACGGCCTTTCAGCACTTCGAGAACGAAGATTTTAAGGTTGTGTTGGCTCACTGGTGAAAACCTTGGGAAAAGAAATGACCACAGGTGGTTGTTCTTGCAAAAACAGCCTTCCGGCGCCCTTTTTAAGGACATTCGGCTATTTCTGACAAGAATGACATCACCCTAACTATTTTTCAAATAATAGTAAAATTTTGTTCTTTTGACTATTTTTGCGAAAAGGAAGTTGGACCCGATGAGGGTTGCCTACGTATCTCACACCCTGTGAGAATCAAACTGGCCTAGTTCGGGCAATTTTGACAACACAAAACCAACTCTCTTTTTTGAAAACGATAAAATTCTCTTTTTTTTGTTTTTTTTTTAAATTTCGGTAGAGTTTCGGTATATATAGGTTTTCAAAACGGGTAATTACCTCCCTTAGCCCTCACACTGCTATTTCTTTTCCAAACTCTTTTCTTTTATTCAAAAACCGGTCAACATGCAAATCCGAAGCAAATAAATGCACAAGTAGCAAGTAAGATCCATCAGGATGGTCTTTTTATTTTTTTGTACACCTGTCCTAGACAGACCCAACCCATGTGTTGAGTCTCCAAAGTTAAAATACACGTGATGCAGACAAACATTCCTACTAGGGATACGGTATAAGGTCTTGTTATACTAGGTTAAAAACCTGGGTTTATTTGTTCTAGACCTGGCTTACCCGAGTGGACAACTCGAGCCGAGTGGGGCTGCGTACAGGTAACCAAAAGATCATCCGGCTTTGAAACTTGTCCGAACCTCATTCTATTTGGAATAGGACTAACAGAAAGAAGTCACGACCAGCGTGCGCTCCTCGGGAGATAGAAGAGAGGGATTTCGTAGCATTTTATATAGAGTTCAGATAATATCAAAGCGGTAAAAAGCAATATTTAGCACATTAGGCCCAAACATGTAAATAAGACCAGATAATAAATAAGGCCCAATATAACAATTATCCTAAGCTCGAATTCTTGAACCCTGAACCAGAGATTCTAGGTTCGATCCCCAGCAGAGTCGCCGGAGCTGTCACAACTACTTTTTTACCTACACCCCCATAAAGGGTGTATAAGGGAGTTTTTCCAATTAAAGGACAATCGAAACGGGATTATTTTATTTAAATTTTTAGAGTCGCCACTTGGGATAATTTATGATGTCCCAAGTCACCGGTTCCGGCACGGTCGCTCCGTTCTAGGTTCTAGGTTCTATTTCGAGCTGTTATATTTGGAACAGCTTAATTGCACCGGTGCCAACTGTTATATTTGGCTTAATTATCTAATTTTAGTACATGTTTCAGCCTATGGTGCAATTTTAACTTTTAACCGCTTTTGTTCAAATAATTTTAAGAAAAATTCAACGTTATCAAAAATACGTCTTGAACCACGTCACATAAATGTGCCCATGGTCCGCAACATATTTTATCTAACATTGTTGAGATTTGGATTTGGGTCACATAAATACGCACCCGAATTTAGGAAGGTAATATTATTAAAATAACACGCCTAAAGCATCTACGCGCTTTCAACTTTGCGAGGGCCATGAAAATTCAACTAAATGACACGCCTCGATTTCTAAGGATTTAGATATTTAGGATCAATTAAATGAAGGCCATGCATTTTAAGATTTTATTTGGCACGGCACGCCTCGATTTACCCTTAAAGAATCGTAATTATATCAAGTGAACGTGTACATAATCACAAGTGTTCATTATTCTAGCTAGTTATTCTTAGGAAGGCCGAGTTCTGAATATCAATTATACAGCAAATAGGTGCAGTTAATAGTTCCTATTAGGAGCCGTTTGTGACTGGTTGCATATTTCCTTAAAAAGTGCGAGAAAGATGAGCACATGTAGTTAATGCTAATAGATTACTTGCCAACTACATTTTTAGGATTCCCCTCCAAGATGTGAGACATAAATCAAAAGGCACAGATGGTCAAAGTAATTGTTCTACCACTGTTTTGTTGCATACTAAATCATAAAATGAATGCTTGAGTTTGGATATTCTAACTTTTGAGTCGTGCCATCAAATGCAGATCAAATTTCGGAGAGGCACGAAAGCAGGAGCCTTGGATTAGAGGAGAAAGTCTGGTGTTAAAGTTATTAATCTAATTTCTCGCAAATTTCAGCAAAACCAAACCTTATTCTCACTTAAAACCCTAAACAATCCGCTCATTAACAACTGTAATTTCCAGATTCATCACAAACTCTTTGAACTTTTATGAACAAAATAAGACAGCAACAAACCCAAACCATAATCTTGGGAAACAGAGAAATTATCAGATTCAAAGATCTAAGCTCCATAAAATGTACTAGAATTTCATGCCATCGAATAATTACACAAATTACGAAACAATTAGTCAACAGCTATTATGAATGTCCTTGAAAGTCCCCTTTTACATATACACCAATTCAAACCCCATGACATCCAAGTAACTAAGCCATAACTTGTTCTATGTTGCAAACCAAAGATAATTCTAGAACATAGAACTTAGCAAGTGCACCCAACAATAAGGTGATTATAAACCTATTCATACTCTATTCAACCATAAATATACCTCGAACAAGCTATCTCCGAACTAAATGATATACATTATGCATGAAATGGAAGAAACAGAAGTGAGAATTCAATAGCAACCATCATCCAATTTGTTCACATTTCAGAACCAAGCTTCAAGCTACTTTTAAGTGGTGTCCATGGAATTGATAAATACCTGGAAGTAAATATGAAATGAAAGGGTGAGGATTTCAGCAGTAACAACAGCAGAATTGAGTTCATATCCAAGGAAAGAGTGCCACAGATCAGTTCAAATCGTGAAATGCAACCAAGGATCCAATTTCGGATTCACAGTAAAACCAACAAACTCGACATCCAAGATAAATGACTGAAACTCAAACTATTTCTAAATCCAAACAGTTAAGAAATTGATTCAAGGAGAGAAATTTCAGATTAGCAAATTCAAACTCAATGGAACAGTGCTAATATTTTCAGCTATTTTCAGATTTTTTCTTCATTTTTTTTCGGATTTTTCTCTTAGTCTCCCTCTTTTTGGTCTATTTGTTCTCCTTATTTCCTTCTCAGAATGTTCTCCTTTCAATCTTTTTCGCTCTCCAACTCTCTTCTCCCTTTATAAATCAGTGAGTGTCCCCCTCTTAAGGTGTATTCAGTCCTTTCTTAATTCTGTTCCTCCCCCCTCCCCCCTTTCCAGACTGTATACCCTTTTACACCTGTATCTTTTAGCCTTTTAATTATATCCCCCATGTTCTCTGATTTCCAGCTCCTAAAGGGGCATTAAGCTAGCCATTACCAGTCCTCTTTTCCTTTTTAATTCATTCCTCTACTTAGTGCTTATAATTAATTCAGTAGTGCATTTCTTAGACCCTACCACTATTGAGAAGCCCTCTAATTAATTATTGACAGGTTTCCCTGCCCAAATTACCCTCAAGGCTTCTGTTATTCATCCCCCCTAAGTTCCGAAGTACCACAATTATAGTAAACAAAAGACTAAAACTTTTAACTAGATTGAAAAATCAAAATCACTATTAAATTAAATAACGACATACATGAATATGCACCAAAGACAATCGAATGGACAGTTCACAATTTTAAACCTAATTCAAACCTAAAAAGAGAAGAAGACGGGGCAGAAGTGGAATAATAACAAGAGAAGAAAAGAAGTAGTACTGGATACTCACCAACTCAACGGGTTCATTTGGCACTTGAATTTTTTCCGACTTCATCGCCAAATGATGTTAGTCATTTGTTCTTTGTTAGAACAAATGATTAACACCATTTTGTGACGAAATCGGCCCTGAAATCATCAACAATTCTTGTCTTTAACTCTGACTTTTAGAATCGCAACTCAAGATTTGAAATTTGACCTATTTTAGACAAATTTGAGGTAAACCAGATATGTATTGGGTATGAGGAGGTCAAGGAGGTTATGGGGTGTCAATTTGGGGTCGATTGGATAAACTAGGGTTCGGGGTTCAAATTTCGATCAAAAATTCGACGATTTCGACCGTGATTCGAAAGGAACGGTTTGAGGATTTGAGATAATGAGGTTAAGGAGAATCACTGGTGTTAATTTGGGGTTGTTTGGGCCACCAAAACCGCCGTGAGGCGATTTTCGGTGGGCAGAAAAGGGCGACGTGCGGTAGTGCATGTTCTTGGTCTCTAAAGAGACGAGTGGGGGGTGTTTGGTATATTAAAATGGGGAATTAACCGGGGCCGTTAGATTAGAAGGGATCGACGATCCAGATTGATCAAGGGGAAAATGGGGTCGTTTGGTGGCTAAGTGGGTGGTCCGGGTATGGGAATGGGTCGAGTTGTGGGAAAGGTTTGGGACCGTTCGATCAGGCTGATTCAACGGCCCAGATTAGAGCATGTCCAAACGACGTCATTTTGGTTGAGGTTGGAGACGGACCGGGTTGGGGGAGACGGGTCTGGGCTGGTTTGGGGTGTATTTGATTTGGGCTTTGGTGGTTAAATTGAGTTTGGCCCAATTTGATTTCCTTTTCTTTTATTAATTCTTTTTCTTCCTAAATTGTCTTCAAAATTAAAACCAAAAATCCTAACTCAAATTATAAAACCAAAATGACTTAAAATACTAATCCAATTTAAATAATATTTATCACAAGTAATTGCAAACATACAAACATGCACGAACTCATGCAAATAATGACAGAAAATATTATAAAAATCCACAACTGGCTTTGTGACATATGCATCGCATATTTTATTTTGAATTTTTTGGGAGTAATTCTCATAGGGCAAAAATCACGTGCTCACACCTTGGATTGCATTTGTGACATATGCATCGCATTTGCGACATATGCGTCGCATTTGGGAAGACAACTGGCTTAAAGATTCGTTGCATTTGCGAGGAATTGATCACAATTGCGATCATCGCTATTGCGAACTTTGTATCATAATTGCGATAACTGCAGCTAGGTAAAAGAAGGGAAAAACAAGATTTTTGTTTATTCTTCAAATTTTCAAAACAAGAAAACCCTAGAGGCGATTTTCCCAAGCACCCTTCTTCCCCAAATTATTGGTAAGTGATTCTAATCCATTTTCTTTCAATCTTTCACTACATTTCCTAAGATTTCAACCTAAGATCTTGTGTTTTCATGGTGGAAATTGGGAGTGTGGGAAGAATTAGGGATTTTTGCAAAATGGGGATTTAGAATTACATAACCGGACTCGGGGGCGAATGAGTAATCAGGGTTTTGTCCAAATTTCGGGTTTGGACCAAGCGATCCCGGTAATTGACTTTTTCAATAATGACCTAAATTGAAACTTTTGATCGTGGGTAATTTCTAAGGCTTATTTTGAATCGTTTGGTTGGTAATTTGCTAGATATTGTTAGTTCGGAGGATTGCTTGAATGGCAAAGTTGTGGTTGAGCTTTGAGTGGTCTTTGGACCGAGGTAAGTGTTGAGTTTAACCTTGACTTGAGGGAATTAGGAACCCTCGGACTAAGTGCTAAGTGAATTTCATGTGAGCGGCGTATATACGAGGTGACGAGTACTTATACGCCGCCAAATTATTTATTGATCGTAAAGGTTTCCGTGGTTTGAATTGTTAATTTGACTATGCACATTAAGTTTTTGGTACTGATATGGTGGGATCGAGTTGAATGCCACAACATGTGGAATAGGGGTAGATTGATATGGTGGAATAAGAGTGAATTTGTACTATACGGTGGGATCGGGTTGCACGCCGCAACAAGTGGAATAAGGGTAGATTGATATGGTGAAATAAGGGTGAATTATGATACTGATATTGATATATGGTGAGATCGAGTTGCGCGCCATAACAATTATATATTATCTTTGTTATTGATGTTATTACGGTGAAATAAGTGAGGATTCTGTGTTGTACGGTGGGATCGGGTTGCACGCCGCAACAAGTGGAATAAGGGTAGATTGATATGGTGAAATAAGGGTGAATTATGATACTGATATTGATATATGGTGAGATCGAGTTGCGCGCCATAACAATTATATATTATCTTTGTTATTGATGTTATTACGGTGAAATAAGTGAGGATTCTGTGTTGTACGGTGGGATCGGGTTGCACGCCGCAACAACCTATGTGTTTATATTTCATGAGTTGTGTTGGTTTTCAGTGTTCTCATTTGAAATGCTAAGGATTGGTAATTCTGGATGACACTGGCTTATTTCTTGACGTTGTAGCTATTATTTTCAGTTGATTGTTTTATTTTGTTCTGTATTTCCATTTTTTGTCATTATTATATAATGCGTATAGGTTGTAGTGTAGATGACCTGCCTTAGCCTCGTCACTACTTCGTCGAGGTTAGGATCGGCACTTACAAAGTACATGGGGTTGGTTGTACTCATACTACACTCCACACTTCTTGTGCAGATTTTGGAGTCGATCCTAGCAGCGGTTATCAGTGAGCTCGAATTGGACATCGTACAAAGACTTGAGGTACAACTGCTCAGCGCCCGCAACTCCTGGAGTTCCTTTATCTTCTTTTTATTTAGTTGTGTACCTTCTTTTCAAACAACTTTATGTTATTTTAGTCCCTTATGTGTATTATTCTAGCAGCTCGTGCACTTGTGACACCGGGTTCAGGGATGTATTAAACGTTTGGCTATTTTAACTTTTGCATTATTACTTTGGATCATTGCAGTAGTCTTGGTTCTTTTCTCATTAACTAATATTGAACTGTTAAAAATGGATAGAATGATTTAATGTTGGCTTGCCTAGCAAGTAAAATGTTAGACGTCATCATGGTCCCGACGGTGGGAATTCTGGGTCGTGACAGAGGGAAAGGTTGTTGAGAAGTTATGATGGTGGAGGTAGTGGATATGACAGGAAGGCTATTTTCGAGAAATGTAGTTGGAGGACGAATGATGGAGCTACTAGGAAGGTTGGGAAGGATATGATAAGCGGGAAAAAGTTGGAGAATATGGTGGATCATCTGACACTATGACCGGAGCTTAGGTGAAGGTGGCATCTAGGAAGCTAGGCGGTAGCGGGGGTGATGTCTTACCAGTCATCCAAGCCTCATACATGTCTGTCATGTGTTGTCTTAACATCCTCATCTCTTCAACCAACATAGTGTCTCGTTGAAACAATTGCTTTTGGGCGGGCACCAGTATCAACCAACTCAATTCTGTTGTCCTCTGTCATTGCCTTTCGATGTTATATTGAAGGAAAGAGTTCCCAGTTTAAGAACCACAAACCAACCACCCTTCTACTATAATGAACATAACAAAGAGGAACAAAATGAAGTCATCACGTTAGTGTTAAGGCATTTAACATAAGATAATCTCACATTATGAGCAATATACCTAGTCACAGTTATCAGATCTAAAATGATTTCGAGGGTACGAAGGTCGTATTGGCATCATCCCAAGTTCACTCTTCTTGCCCCTTTTCCTCTTTATTTTTTTTCTTGCGCTCCTTGGTTTTTCATTTTCTTCCGTTTCTTTTTCTTTCTTATTATTAGTCTTTTCTTTCCTCTCATTTCTCACATCCCACAACTTCATCTTTTTTTCTTTTAATATTAAAAATGATTCGATCGATTCCAATGTAGGTTGTCTACGTATCATGTTCCACATGAATCAGACCAAGCGTAGTTCTGGAAAAGTAATGGACAAAATAAACTAAAAATAAAAAAAAATTATTTATAATATTTTTTTGGTTTTTCAAATACAAAAGGAAGTTCTATAAAAAGACTCGACAATCTCAACTAGATTATGACAGACTCTGACATCACCTAAAAGACTCAATACCACTGGACAAGACTACAAAGTAAAAGACAAACATAAAAACAGACTCGAAACATAAAAGTCTCCTTAAGAAGCTCTTGAATGCAACGATCCTAGCTATGAAGGTTATGGGGTAAGTGGACCCATACCTGAATTAGAAGAATAAGAACAAATAGAGTTAGTGACTCAGGACACTATGTGAAACAATAACAACATTATTGAAGCTATTTTTGCAAAATGGCTACATGGCCAAAAGGTGGCTAGAAGTGCAAACACAACAAAGGTGACCACAAAGTCACACAGATACCTTACTAAGGCCTACATGGCCTCAAACTCCCAACATAGTCCTCAAAATTACTTTGCAAAAAATGACCCCATTGCAGAAATGGCCTATGTGGTCAAAAATGGCTAAGCGTGCAAATTCAAACGGAATAGACCTAAAACTAAGAGGACACCTTATTGTTGATTTAGGGCTCTATGACATGGGTTAACAAGCTACTTTTGCAAAAATATCCCTATTTCGCAAAAACGGCCGATATGACAAATATGGATAAACGTGCAAGATTTGGCTACGACCTCCGAAGCCAAGAACTTGAGACTCACTAGGAAGACGGACCCTATGTGGGTTGCTTACGTATCTCGCCCCAAAAGACGAGAATCAAGTCTTGGGTTATTGGAAAATATCCCTATTTTTCGGTCTTGGGTTTGTTGTGTCTTTCAGGTAGTACGTGGTGGCTATTGGAAACGAAAGAGGAACAAGCATGAAAATATATGAGTCCCTACTAGGGCGAGTAGCAGTAAGGGACGATGGAAGTTGGATGTGAACGAGCCAGGTGTCGCGACATCATCGTGTAAACTAAGACAACTTCCAGATTCTATTCTCGGGAGTTGGTACCTACCACTTTCCTATTATTCTTCCCCTTGTGCTAGTTAAATTGTCGCCTTTCTTAGTTTGCATTAGTGTTAAGCATTCTATTAGCTGCAACTTGTTTTATCCTTGTCTGGTTCGTTTGCCTAGTGCGAGTGAGTGATTCTCCTTAGTCTATTGTAGGTATAGTGGTTGTAGTCCGAGATGGTAGAGTAAGGTCATGTCCTCGGGGAGGCCAGGGGGTAGGGCAGGGTGTG